AATGGTTTTTTCACAGGACATCAGGAGCAAGAACACTACCAAAACTCTAAAAGTAATTTTCAAATTCTTGGGTGCAAAATCATATTATTCTGAAAATTGAATTTATTGTTATGTAGAGTTGTCTAATGGTGACTTTCTACTTTCAGAAAAGATTTTCGAGAATGTATTTTATAATTTCAAATATAATTAGTAATACTTCTTGAGTACAATTGTCTATATATTAATTAAAATGCACCTGAGGGTGTACTACTGGGTGCTATTGATTGGTCGTGCTCCCCAAGCATCTACTGTCACCTCACAGGGACCTAGTGGCTTAATGGTATCATCATATAATATCATTATACAGGGTGGCCCAAGAATATCATTATACAGGGTGATCCGAACCAATGGTGATCTACATTCCAGGGTCTGCTCCAGTGAGCTGTTTCACCGTTCAGGATAGCACGCAAGTTTTTGAACAGCCTGCTTATTTTTTTTTGCTTCTCTGTTTTTTTTTGTAAATAACTATCTGATAACTATATGTTTCTGTGTTGCCTGTTTCTATTAGCCATACATGCGTCTGGTTATTTTGTACAGCGTAAATTGAGCACTTGGTGGTTGTGGGTCTTATACCAACGTTGTGAATTCAATGCGCTTGCGCCTGAGCTCACGCGACGCTTACTTAAATCATAAAATCTGCTCAATTCCTGCGCTCTTTATCTCTGCTTATTTTCTTGTGTTTCTCCCTTGTTATTGCTACTGCGGCTTATTATTATTTTTTTGTGGCTAACGGTCAATGCTGCTAATATATTTTTCTTTTCCTCAAGTTAGTTGCTGAAAAGTTGTCACTGGCTTATTATTTTTCTTTTGTTGTGACTAACGATTGATAGCTTGATATTACTATATTTTTTATTATGCTTATTGCTTGATATTGCTATATTATTTATTATGCGTATTGCTTGATATTGCTACATTATTTTTCTTCATGTTTATCGCTTAAGGGTGCTACTGACTCACCGCCTATTACTTTTTTTTGGCTTATGATTAATATCGCTTGTACTATCGCTATTTTTTTTGCTTCCATCGTTCAATAGTGCTATTGGCCAAATATTCTGTTTAATTGTTGCATACTACCGCGGTACTCATTTTTATTTTTTTATTTTTGCAAGGCTTGACTCTTCTGATTATCTCATGTTCACTTTCTCACTTGCATGATTACTGATATTGCTTATTGCGGTGTGTGCTTACCGATACTTATTTGAACTCGTTCTCGCCTAGCAGGTCTACTGTTCATTTTCAAATTTTATATTTTCATAATTTCATTGTACTACCCATATGATCGCAGGAATTTCAATATATATATATATATATGTGCTGACGATTAATTCGTTTTACTCTCGTTTGGTAAATTTGGAGAGGGATTGTTTGGGTATTTGTAAGGGGTATGAAGTTTACCTGGCGCCCATTGGTCATCTATTTTATTCTTTTCTCGAGAAATCTTACCGCACCACCCCATCTCCACTAGAGCGAGCGGCAAATACCCACTTGTCATATGACAATCGTGGTCCAGTAACACCAGTGAAATTTTAGGTTACATCCTGTCTATGGTATATTTCGGGTAAATTTGAATTCATGCGATCTGCACTGCATAAGGTGGCGTTCACAACCATACTTTTTACGTTTTGCTTTTTACGATTCGTATTCTGGTTGGTTAAGCAGAATCTATAATAAAACGTGAATTAAACTTATGCAAATGTCATTCACAAAAAATAAATCAACGTGACGTTTTACAGATTTTCTCAGTTGCCCTGGTTTTTTTGGCATTTGTGTTTCATCCTGAAATGAAGTTGAATAATCATAACAATAATTTTGATTAGATAATCAATTATACTCATAGAAGTGGCGGTAACGTGAATTGATCCTTATTAACTTCTACAAGACAAAAAATCAATCCTCAAGAAGAAAATAATAAATTGAACAGGATACCTATCTAATATTCCGTGGATTCACGAGAAAATCATGAGCAAAAACATTATCACTACTTCCATATATAGAATGTTCCATACATGTATTGTTCTAGCAGAACTAATATTAGTAATTTCCATTTTTATAACAATATCATTTGTCTATTTCTATACTATTTTCACAAACGAGGGCTCCTTGCAACGCAAAAAGCTGAATATTTTCAGCTTTTTGTGTCATTTCAATTACAGATTTTGCTTGACCAATCAGAATACGAAACGTAAAAAGCAAAACGTGAAAAGTTTGTTTGTGAACGCCGCTTTACATAACCTATACAATTGTACACGTTCCCGCAAGAGTGACTATTAAGGGTGCCTTCCATACCAGCTTCTTGCAGTAACTTTTCAAAGAAAAAGTGCTGCTAATTATTCTCAACCATTTCCATCAGAGCGAAAGAAATGCTGCGTTTTGTACGTCAGATGTCAGGAGAATGTTGTAGATTCGATGTGACAGTTGTTAATTCGCTAATTGCAAATTGCAATTCAAATATCAAATTTTATATATAAGATCCATTAGATCTATATTTGACTGAACGGTCAAAGGTATGGTAAACATGAAAGATATGTTGAAGACAAATATTTTTGTAAAATTGTGATGGATGCTGTTCGTCATGATTCATTGCATGAAATAGCAGCAAGCAAAATATTGCAACGCAGATGCCTAGTACTCCTATATTATGGGACGTTTTTGAATGATAGACCTAGAAGAAGGAGTCGATTTTGGGTTCATCCCATTAATACTGTTCATGCAAGATTTCTGCATGGAGACCATCAGAATTTATTACAAGAGATGCGACTCACTCATGTTAATGAATACTTCAACCATTTAAGAATGACACCTGATTTATTTGATGTTTTGCTCACATTAGTTGGTCCACAAATATCTGAAGTAGAAGGTTATCGAGAAGCACTATCAGCTTCTTTGAAATTGTCCTCAACATTGAGGTAATGAGGAAATTAATTTTTGATCAGTTTGTTACTGGTTTGATTATTTGTTTTATTTTTCAGATATCTAGCTAGTGGGGACAGTATGGTATCAGTGGCTCGACAGTTTAGAATTGGTGAAAGCACAGCTTCAAAAGTAATCCGTGATACATGTGATAAATTATGGGAGGTCCTGAAAGATATTACATTTAGCACTCCCACTACTGAGGATTGGAGAAAGTCATCTGAATTGTTTTTCAGGAAATGGAATCTTCCTAATTGTGTAGCTGCACTTGATGGCAAGCACATTGTTAATACTGTACAGTATTGAATTGATGCAAAAGTAACTGCACAAATAGTGATTATGTTCTTATTATAGGCACCTGCTCATTCAGGATCAGCATTCTATAATTATAAAGGTAGCCACTCAGTTGTATTAATGGCAATGTGTGATGCTGATTACAATTTCCTGTTAGTTGACATTGGTGCACAGGGTAGATTCAGTGATGATGAGGCATTTTCAAAAATTCAGTCATGGGTCAGAAATTCAGAAATAATGATATGAATCTCCCTCCACCTTCAATTGTCTCTGATGACAGACCTCCATCACCATATATATTGTTGTTGCAGATGAGGCATTCCCTCTCTCAACTTATTTATTGAGACCATACCCAGGAAAAAATTTAACAGATTCTAGGAGGGTTTTTAACAATAGATTATCAAGAAGTCGTCGCTGCATCGAAAATACTTTTGGTATACTCTCTGGAAGATGGAGAATTTATCGAAAACCTGTACTGGCTAGTTTGGAGACAGTAGATTCTATTATAAAATCCACAGTTGTTTTACATAACTTCATCAAGAAGTCGGAGGCAAAAAATCCTCAATCAGATAGGAGATATTGTTCACCAAATTTCATTGATAGAGAAGATGAAAATTGTGGCAAGTGACTGGAGAAATTTTGAAAGTACTGGTCTCAGAGATATTCACAGAACTGGAACAAATTATTATACTTCAAGTGTTAGTGGTATAAGAGATGAATTTATGGAATATTTTATTGATGAAGGAGCAGTTCCTTTCCAATGGGATGAACTTTGAAATTTAATTTTCTGATATAAATTCATTTTTGAATATTTATGGTTTTCTCTCCTTGTATGAAAAAAAAATATCAAAGTTGGTATCTCTATAAAGGACAGAATATGTTCTGTCCTAAGATTGCCTTCAAAATGCGTATTTTAGGAATTCGAAATAGAAATAGAAGTACTTGTAATGAGTGACACCCTAATTTGAAAAAAAAATCCATAAAAGGAGTATGTAGGTAAAGAAATATGGAAATATCTCTGGATGATTCAAGAATTAATCTTTTAATCTATTCCAGTTTTCAACAAGAAAAGGTTCAGAGCACTGTGTCCTTCATGCAGATTCTGAGTTTGATAAGCCCTAGATGTTTTGAAAATAACAGAAAGTCAAAATCTTTGAAAATGAACAGTGTACCTCCTCAAAGAACATGACAGTATTGATGTAAATATGTGAATAAATGTGTAGATTAGATACTCAATAAAAATGTTACATTCATAAATGCATTTATTCCATCCATACAACATACAAATAAAAATTTATAATTCAGATGTGAACACAAAACAAACAAGATTTAAAAAAAAATTCAAATAAATGTAAGGCAAATTAAATTAAGTTCAATTAGTGTTGGGAAATGCGATGAAAATGCATGTTATTCATTGCAATATAACAACATGTATTCATGAAGTTTTTTCAACATTTCAATTTCCAGCTGTGATCTGATCTGAATTTTTTTAAATCTTCTGCAAGCCTACTACAGAAATGGTCAATATGCCATCAAGATTACTCATATTAGTGTTACTTTCAATGCGTATGGGTGCTTTTGCTATTCGTTCAATTTTTTCAAGTACATTTATTGATTCAATAGACGAACTTTTTCTTTTACCAGAAATAAATGTTTTGGTTGGTAACAAAGTGTCAGTAGAACTACTGGTGCTAGCAGATGAAGAAGTTGAAGTTGATTTTACGTTTGAACTTCTAATGTATCATCCAAAAAGGTCATCAAATTTTTTTACTATCACTAGTACAACACCCAGATCCACTTGGTGGCTTCTTTGTTATTTCACTCCTTATCTTCACATAGGAATCCCTTAAAGTTTTCCATTTTTTCGCTACTGCTTCTACTGACATATCAACTTTCATGATGGTCAATATTTCTTTCCATAATTTTTCATCAATAGATTTTGATCTATGTACTGAAGGAAGCCTGAAGTTGTACAAGGGTGGCCTTTGCATGACAAGGGATATAAGCTCTTCATTATAGCCTGTCTTTGCAATATTTTCATGAGTATCTATGTAGTCTGTTGCAAGAACCCCTTCATGCTTCTCGTCATGCCCTTCATGATATGGTTCTTCCTGCAGCTCTGTTTCATCACCAATCCTTTCTACATTTATTTCAGCAGCATCCTCATTCACCCCCTTTATCATTCCAGCTCGAACTGAATGTGTTATGTATTGTATAAGAAATTCATCATCTGAAAGTGTAAACAAATCAATACTATTTTTTTATATTATTTTCCTGATTATGTTTATTACATACCATTTCTCAACAAACTTATAGTATCAGCATCTGTCGAAAATGTCGCAAGTCGCCCATCAACAGCAAATTTTAACTTTTTCCATTATATTATTATACCAATATTAATTGCTGTCACAGTTTAAATATCTTTTTTGTTAACATTACATATTCAATGAATTATTTGACGCCTTTTTGATAGACGGTATTTTTAGGGTTATAAAATAGGGTGTCGCGTCAATTGGACGTGGAAAATTTGACGCGGATAATTGGACGCGGCGACAATTAGACGCGGCGGCAATTGGAATTAAAATTGACGAATTTTGAGCCGGTTGCAGAAAAACGGTATTTTCTGCTACCGGTGAAAAAATCGCAGAATTGTCAAACTTGATTGATGGGAGATGTTATTTTTCTTGTAATTCAAAGGAGAAAGTTCAAGAATTAGTAGAGAATTAGGATTATTATTAACTAGTATATTCTTTGGTGAAATTCTGAAAGTAAAATTCGAAATTCTATCCCTTTCACCCATAATAAGATATAGAATTCAATATAATAAATGTCATAAGGATTAAAGTAACTTTCCCCTATCTCCCCTACACAAGAGGAGAGAAATGAGCACGTGTTGTTTATCAAAGAGACCCGCCTGACATAAAAATTACCTCGTTATTTATGTTGTATTTTTTATGTTTCTTATATCTATTTGTTGAACTATACCTATAAATTAGTTTTGACACCAAACATAAACACGCGTTTTTGTTCGGTGGTTTAGATGAGGGAAGAATTTAGGGGACACTGATGGTTGTGAAATTTCTAATGAGTGAATGCAAAAAGTATAAAATCCAAGGTGGATATGTAACATGTCAATATCTAATTAAAATCAGGGCCGGAGTTGAGGTTTGAGAATTTGTTTCCAAATATCATTTCATTAATCAATTCATTGCGAGACAAAACGAACCGCCATTTCAACAAGCTTTACATTTTCAAGCAGTACATTTTCAACATACAATATGAAAACAATATTGAATAATTCTTTAGTAAACTCTAATTATATCAACAATGAATTAATAACTGGTGTGTCTTATGATTAACTTTGCTTGTTTCTATAATATCTATCTGTTATTCATTAGGCCAAAGAAATCGAGGACTTTTATTCCCTCCAAACATTCAGATGAGGAGTGGCACTTCTGGTGGCAGATTTTCCATCAGAATTCAGTTGACTTTGGGAACACCACCACAGTGGAGGGGAATTTGTTTTCTACCCCAAAGAATTTTGCTTTAGCACATTGTGTCTCCAGTGATTTCGAAATGTCCCGTGGGATAGCTTCGGAATTCAGGTTATTATATATGATGTGACCAAATAATAAATCGAACAATACGAAACGATTTTTTTCTTTTACCAAACTTATAGTACCGAGTTTGTGGTTTACAATTTCACTTATGAACTACTGAATTTTTCAGACGCAGATATCAAGGGGTCCATAATCTCCTAAATCAAGGACAAAAACCTGGAGGACTCGCTTTTCATGTTATCGACGGAAGATTCATTTTTTACAAGGTAACAAAAAACCATTATTCTGATAAGCCAAATTACAGGAACATTTTCAAAAGTCTCCTTAATTTACGAGGTATTAATAATAAAAATGACATTTCTGACTTGGCACTACCCAAAATATCTTATTGTGGCCGGGACCGTAAGAATTGGAAGATTATCAAACCAATGATAAGTTTCATGTTCCGTGATGTAAATTGCCACATCCATATCTACATGTGATTCAATACATGAATACTTACGTGGGTAATAGGGCTACCGGCGAACCTCCTATTAAAAAAAGGTAACGCGCTATTGCAATACCTCAGGGGTAGTGTGGAAACTTGCAGCTGAATGTATCGGAATTGGATCACTTTTTTAAATACTATTCATGGATATAATGATTGAAATAATGTCATAAACAACTGTTATTTCGATTGTGTTCTTCTCTTTTCCATAGACTTTTTACAATACCCTTAAACAATGAAAACTTTACAGCTGAATTGAATATCATTAAACAAATCGCAGTTAACAATAATTTTCCTATTCCTTTAATTGATCGACTTTACTTGAAATATACCAATGAATTTTCAAATAACTTTTTAACAAATTCTGTTTCAACATCCAAATATGTTTTCCTTTCTTTCTTTGGTTCTGTTTCCCTTGAACTCAGGAAGATTTCGGGAGAAAAACAACAATAATACCATCAATTTCAATTTTTCTTTCAAAACCGCCAATACTCTAGGGAGTGCACTAGTCAACACAAAAGACAAGATTGATATTCTAGAAAAAACTGGTGTTTATGAATTGAATTGTAAGAATGATGATTGTAAAGTGTGCTACATTGGTCAAACAGGTCGCAAGTTCAAAACCAGAGTATCAGAACAGAATAGTTTTATACAAAATAATTTTGATTTTTTTGAGTCCAATTCTGTTTTTCCCAACCATATTATCAATGACAAATACTCTTTTGATCCCAAATCTAACATATAAATTTTACATATTTGTGACAAGGGAAAAAACTTAACCTCCTTGAAACTTTGGAAATTAATAAAGCGGTCAAAAATTCCAACCTCAACTGCCTCAATGAACAAACTCAATTCGATAGCCTAAAATTATTCAACTCCTTGTTATTTTAACTACAATTTTGGTTCTGTGTTCTATGTCACTTCGAATCAAATCATTACTTGGTTTTGACTTGACGGGTTGTCATTCTAATGTTGTGTTTTGTCCTCAGCGTCATTGTCATCAATTGTCATTTGTGATTAGTTGACCTAATTCAACAAATCCAGTTTCACATTATGGTTCATTTTGATAATTGAATTTTGTCACTATTTTAAATATCTAAGCTCTTATTATTGAGCTTGACATAATGGTTCCCTAACATTAACTCAACCGCACTATGCGCGGTTAAGAACAAAATAAATTTTTTTCATGTTTTGTATTAAGTTTTTCCACCAATAATGGTAGGTACATTCAGATTCCTTAATCAATACTTATAACTAAGATAAACATTGTTTCTTCTTACAGATTTTCTTTTTGACACATTTGCTGATGATGAAGGATTAATCCTTCGAAACATGTCCTTACTTATGTCCATGACCATTGGTCATTATTAAAAAAATTTATGTGGTGGAGCTTTAGATTCCTTAATCAATACTTATAACTAACATAAACATTGTTTCTTCCTACAGATTTTCTTTTTGACACATTTGCTGATGATGAAGGATTGATCCTTCGAAACATGTCCTTACTTATGTCCATGACCATTGATCATTATTAAAAAAATTTATGTGGTGGAGCTGTGACTGTAAGTTCTTTCACCTCTCCTGATTTATATCACCTCCACTGTAAGTTGTGGATCACCTACGTTGGTTACACTTGGTAACAGTGATCTTGGAATAGTAGCACTTATTTTTGAAGCAGAAGGTTCTATGGCTCTCATAAGTGCTGCTTCATCACCAGAATCTTCAATTTCTTGAAGGAAACTTGAAAGTTCTTCACCCTCGATAGACTTGACTGCATTCTTTGCAGCAATGTTTTTAGCAGAATCCCTCTTCAACTTCATCTCGCCAACACTGATTATAGATACATTGGTAATAGAAGGAATGAGCCACTTTGCCTTAACATCTGTACAGGAGGAATTCTTGGCAGACTGGTGGATATATTCCAGCCCATAAAGAACAGCAGCTACATGCCTGCACACTTCGGATTGGCCTGCCATGCAAGTGCAATGGGCTGAATTTATGGCACCATCTTTTTCACAAATAATCCACACTTGTAAGGAAGGATTATTCATCCGCTGTGAATGCTTGACCTGAAGCAAAGATAAGATTGATTTAGAAACATGTTTCAAATACTACAAAATATCAATTAACTTTGCAATAACAACAATATGCTCTCCAATTTTCTTGCCTCCACAAGCATGTACAAATCCAGCTTCAAAGTATTTATAGGCAGTTGAACTCTTGTGAGCCTTCATCTGCTGGTTTGTGTAGAAACTATGGGTAAACACTATAGATACGCACTCATATCGAATGCAGTAACAGGTGGAAAATTTTCTACAGCAGTGTCTGTATCTTCTGAAGTGAGAGTATAGGGATCAATACCCTGAATTACTCTGATTTTCTCCTTATACCGCGTCGCAATGTCTTTGTTGTCCTGTTCTAAGGATAATAAATAGTCACTTATGTTCGAAACAGCCATTTTCACAATAATTTCACTAGGAGTTCACTGAAAGATTCAACTTAACACAACGACAAACAACTTAACAATGGTTTGTTTACGCCTGTTTGCGTTTTGTGTGCCTACAGGCCGCCATTTTGAATGACGTTTGGTGTTCTGGAATGCCTAAAGGTGGCCTTCTACACCAGCTTTTTGCTGCTAGCTTTTCGGGGTTAGCCAATCAAGTTCCTCTAAATTTAGCTGCCGCTTTCACAAGGTCATGAAGCTCGATGTTGGTCTAAGTTTTACTTTTCAGCGTCAAATAGTTTCACATCTTTGTCTAAATTGATGCTATGCTATTTTATGGATTACCGACAATTGGACGTGGTCAATTGGACGCACGAAAATTGGACGCGGATAATTGGACGCGGCGACAATTGGACGCGGCGACAATTGGACGCGGCGACAATTGGACGCGGCGACAATTGGACGCAACGAAAATTGGACGCGGCGACAATTGAGCGCATGCGAAAATAAAAATAATTTTATAATTCCAATGAAATTTATTGCATGGAATATGCAGGGCTCATATCTATAATATAACAAATACCTAACCTAACCTTACCTTCATATTTATTAATAAAAACAGAGGTTTGCCAAAATAAAATAAAATACACGATGTAGACTATTTATACTTGCAATTGAAAATTGTGTGCAATGCCTCGCAGGTACTCTAGAACTGGTCTGTTATTGTAATCAGCGACCACTGTTTTGATTCTTTGAGTAGTGTCTCGATACATCTTCTTTTGGGGTTGCAGTTGTCCAGCTATAAGTTGCTCTATTTTCAACCGATTTAGGCTGTTTTCTTTTTTCAAGGCATTGATAAATTTCCATATGGATGGGTGGACGGCGTTGACAATAGACGAGAAACTATTATGCCAACCTTCAATGGCATTATTAGTTCGAGGAATGTCTCTTTCTACTAGTGCATAGACGTTCCATAGTTCAGCATTGTACAGTGGCGGTCTTCGGCGTTGGTGTCTATCAGTACGACCTATCCAAGTGTCCTCAAAGTAATTTATGAAAGATACCAGCAAATCTTCATTCTGCACATAAAAGTCGCTATCGAGAATTTCTTGAAAAGCAGTTATTACATCGTTTGGTGGAACAAAGGCTAGAGCTGGTAGTAAGCGTAGGTGTAAAGCAAACTCTGGATCTTTGCTGTATTTTTGTTGCAAGCCTGTCTGCTGTATATGCCTCCAAATGCACTGGCTTGAATGGAAAAAGCATCCACGTATTGATGCGTCAGGAAATTCATCTTGTAGAGAATTTATTGCAGCTTTTTCAAAATCCACCATAATTGAAGCCGGTCGAAGGCCCGATTTAAGCGCTTTTAGAGCTTGAAAAAGTCGGACGTATGTGGCTTGATTTTTATGTGGAAGAAGGGCATAAATCGTTGGTATAACGTTGCTATATTGAACACCATGTATGGTATACAACTGGCAAAATAAAATAGGCGATGAAGAAAACGTACCGTCAGCATACCAATGGTCACAATGTTGCATAAACTCCAAATTTCGTTTTGTTGTGAACAAAAGAATTCGGTCATCTCCAGGGCCACTGTCGAAATGTAAAAATTGTTCATCTTCAGTTCGTGTGTACTCTTCGGGCATTACAAGCTCCACTAGATTTCTAGGATTTGGTGGAACATGGTCTGCCATCTGTCGTACCCGATGTATGGTTCTCTTCAAAGAAATGACTGAAGGCAACTGAGCTGATACTGATGATGGTAAACCTGAGGACATGGTAGCTACTATCGCCTGAGTGGATTGCTCGATCTGTTGTGAGTTTCTTTTCATTTTTTCAACAGTTTTTTTGGCTTGAACTTTGGCGGCATCAGCGACATGTAGATGAGCTGTACTATGGACAACTGCTTGTTGCACCGAATGCACCCTTCCTGGGCAGCGATTCTTATTGTAATCAGCACATTTCCAGATTGTTTTTTCTCCGACAATACGCTCCTTTTTGTGTAAGAAACCATCGTATAGTAGCATTGGGTTACCCCTTTCACTTTTCACAAACTCAAGAACCATGTTGACACTAAAGTATTCTTCTCACTCATGAAAATTGAAATGAACGCGTCAAAGTTGACAGTTCAAAAAATTTGTGACAACCGAGTACACAATAGATTCACGACAAGTATTGTAAGTACCCATAATCCTTCCCGAGACATTCAAACCTATGACCAGTGAGGGGTTACTCGCTTGGCAGCAGAATAATGGGGCTAGATTCAACTTAACAAATTCATGAATTTTTATTCAATCATAAGCTCACATTGGGGTGTAAATTGAGAGACTACAAAAATGAGTGAAAAATACAAAAACAAAAGATGTCGAGCGTCAACGAGACAAAATAACCAGAACACATAGTATATGAGGTAATATAAAAATGAAACATAAATATAACATATAAATCATGTACTCACCAAAGAGCGTGCTTCTCCATGGGGGTGGAACTCGAGGGGCGCGGTGTGTCGAAAAACTAAACTTACTTCAAGAATGAAACGCGTGATCGCACTACTCGCGATCCCTAATCGTAATGCCGGCTTTTTCATCAAACTCGATATTCCTTGTTTCGAAAAATACTCCGTCAGCGATAATTTACCCGATCATAGGTGCCAGCGACCTGGTAAAAAGATTGCAAATCAAAATAATACTGATTGAAATTGGATTCCTGATTTCCTGGCAACTACGATCGACTGAACTGTCTTCCGGAAATGTAAAATTAGCTATGAATAATATATTTACTGGGAAAAGACTAAAAATTGGAATTTAAAATAACTGAATAAAATACGAATGATCATTATATCTTGACATATTTCCCCCCACCATGGAAAAGCTGGCCCCTCAGCTTTGAGGTTACCTAAAAATTGAGAGCAGATGAAAAAAAAAAGGAAAAAAAAAATCAATGAATGAAAACCAAGGTCTATCAATGAATAATAAAAAAAATGATGATATAAAAAAAAACTAATGTCTTTCATTTGAGTCCATCACAACATAAGTCAAGGGGCGTGAAAAATTAAGTCCCGCTCTGTCCACTCACAAGATAAGTCAAGGGGCTCAAAAAACTAAGTCCAGCCCTGTCCACTTACAACAGTCACAAGAAATATTATAATATAATATAATATAATAAGCCTCCGACGTCTCCAAAGTATACTCTTTGCCTTCTTGGTTCCTCATCGATGGGAGTCCTGGGAACCGCAGTGAAGTGCCTTGCTGAGGAACATGATCTCCACATGATCAATGTGGATTACTTGGTCTGCTGGTAACTTCTACATTGCTGCGACTTGACGCTTTGTGTCTCGTAGGTTGTGAAGAAGATCTGACTCCTGGTGAGCAGCGGGCAGTGACAGTTCACCCTACAGGATTTTCGTAAGGTATGAAGGTACCACTGTCCCTTTTTCCGTCTTCTTCGCAGACTCATCAACCAGGTTATTGAACTTCACTCAGGTGCCATATTCGTACGATTATACTTCCCAAAGTATAAACGACTGGGTGGGTTTCCGTCTCAGCAAACAGAGGTTTTCTGTGTTGTCCTTGCATGGTCACTTCTTAGATCTCCCATTCGCAGTATGGGACCTCTGGGCGTGGCATGGAGATAGGAGCATAGGATGCATTGGCTTCATCTCCTTAGGCTCTCTCCTTCGTGAGTGTGTGTCCCAGAATCCGTTGTGATGGCTCATCTCTTGTTGAACATGTAACAGGAGATATACACCAAGTAAGTTCTTAGAAGAAAAAATTTTGTAACTTTTCAATCGAAGTTTCTCTTGTTTGATGTGATTAACAACTTACATAAATATTTCTATGTGGTAATTGATCAATTACACCGCTTTTTATTTCTTCAACTAACCCTATCTACCCTTGCTCAAAATACTACAATGATTTCATTCTATTGAAGATCAGTACAGGTTCTCAGAAAAAAAATAAAAAAAAAATATCCTCTACAATCAACTTGGTCTTCGTTCGATGTTTTCAAAACAGATATAATAATTACATTCAGTAACCTGGCAGCATATAACAACAACAAAAATTATAAATCTATTATTTTGCTACCTAGTATGAGCATTTGAACATTTCTTCTTTTCTCACTACATATTTCGACAATTTTCCTAATTTCAGTAATTTCTCATTAATCTGAATTAATGAGGAAAATAACGAGTTTTTTGCAATTGACAAATAACTCGTGCGATTCTCAACATGAATCATTCATATAGATTTTTTTTTTTTCTATTTTTTATCAGTATTTTGAACTCAATTCTGTAGAAATTCGCCAGATTTCATCATATAAGTACCAAAAGGATACATTTATGAACTAGCGTATTTCTACCCAACTTAGTACTCTAGTACTTAGTTGTCATCTTTTGGTGTAGTTCTAATGGGTGCAGTCAGGGCCCTTTGACTATATAGCATCCATTAGGAGTAGACCGCAAGGAACACCTAATTTGTAAATTCTTTTTGGAAACCTAAATGATCATCAAAATACCACGTTTCCGGCTCTTCCCTCAACCCTTTTACTTTTCTATCCTTCTTTTTCAACTATTTTAGACTATTATCAACGATCCATATTCTCATTGATATGCAAACAAAACATTATCAATCATCTTGATCAACCTCCTCTTCATCGTCTGTGATTCTATAAATTGTACATTTCAAATGTTGTCCAGGTTGCAAATTCATACTTTGTTCGTCTAACTCGATTCGATATTCCCCACGTGTATTACTTCTTTCAGATCTTGATTTGTTTGCTGATTTTGCTTCGTTTGTTTTACGTTTCTTCTGGAGGATGCACCAAGTCCAGAGAGTTTTAAGTGAAATATATATAATGAACATAAGTAAGGTTGCACATAAAACACCAAAGAATATATCTTGTTCTATTGGTGCTGAGGTTTTTGCATGAACCCGAGTGAATAAATTTGGTAGGAGTGCTAATTGATTCGGACCTCGGAATATTAGGTAAATTATGATGATTGACATGATAGAATTCCATACTAAAAATATTGAGTCGCTATGAAGTCCGTAAGTATTAGAATAAATGTATTTGATATGTTCCCTGACTTTGTCTACTACTTCGTTTATTGTATCATGCGTAGTTGTCAGATTCAAATGTGGTATGTTCAGAGTCCAGTTGGAATTTAAAGTTTCTGTAAAATTTTGATACTGAGGAGGGTTCGCCAAATTCGGATTAAGAATAAATGATTGAAGATTCGTCCATGCTGCAGGAATTATATGTATGATACTAGCTTCGGGAATATTTGCCTCTGGGCACGGAAATCTTTGAGGAATCATTTCTTCTTCATTCATCATGAGTTTACAATTACATGGGACACGTATTCTGACTGCTCCTGGGTAATAGTATGCGGAATCAGGAAGAGGGGTGGTTATATTAGGGCACATAATTTTTGTAGTTGGTTTGGGGTAGGTTAGTATATAGGTCTCTTCTTCAATTTCCGAAATAGATAATGATTCTGACTTATGGCATTGCATGGGGCAAACATTATTTAGTTCACTAACTGTGGCACCATTGTATAATTTCTTAGCACATGCGGGCCCTTGAAAAGTGTCAGCTGAGAACCTAGGTATATAACATAATTTATCATCAAAAGGCCTACAGTGGCGGAGACCTGATCCTGAGATTTGTCTAATTTGTTTTTGACCACCATTACTTGAAGTGTCTTTAGCAACTGCCAAGAAAATTGTTTCGTGCTGAATAGAACAGGTTTGATTTTGCCAAGAAAATGGAGTTGTTATGAGTTCAAGAAGTTGCCATGACTGGGATTTTTGAATTATCGGTACTCTTATATGTACCAGAATGTTATTATCTGTAAATGAACAATCGCAAATTGGGAGTTGATAATATTTTGAAATATCTGAAATAGGTATGGCTAAATGTTGACCCGCATCATTTATTTCTGTTTGCAATTTTGAAAGGTCATGGTATAAAATAGAGGGATTTAGGATAGCGATGGGAATATGATGATGGTGGCAGGAGTTCAAAATTCCTTGTCTCTTAATAGTCCTAACCAGTTGGATATTATGTTTCAGATTTTTGAATTGTCTAAATAACATTTTAATCATTATACTTCCCTGATTCCGTTCACTACTGAGAATTTTATTTTTCATGTCTCCTACAAAAGACTCTAAATTATGAATTCTAAATTCTGTTTCATTGAAAGCTTTACCTATAGATTTTTCATATTCTGAAAACTTTTTTGAATCATCTGAAATTTTTGTCAGTTTTTTCGATAGTCCGTCAGTAAGTTTGTCAATTTGAAATTGTAAATTATTCTCGTTTGTGACTAATTTATCCAATTTTTGAAGGGTAGCAACCCCACAGCACCAAGAGAGACCCTCACCCAGGAAATCGAGTGATCTTCTACTTCTACTTATTATACTGGGTTCATTAACATATATTTTCAGAAAATTTGTACTCCAACTTTCTTCTAAAAGTTCAAATTCCTTTTCAAAAGAAGATTCTAATAAATCTAAATTATGTAACAAAAAACATTCGGGTCTATTATTTGGATCATTAGTGCATTCTCCAGAAAACTGTCTTTTTTCTTTCAAAATTTTTTCGTGCCATTTTGATTGATATAAAAGAGGTATTGTTGCCTCATAACTGATTGTAGAGGGGAGGGGTCTCCAAAACGCCCCTGCCGTGATTTCCAATTTTTCACTCCTGACCAAGCCTATCAGGTAGAGAGGTAGGAACCTGTTGATATACCAAAACTATTATTACTTATATTTCTACATTATGCGTATCAAAAATTCATTATAATTATTTATTTTAATGGAATCTGTTGGTTCGACTCAATATAAATCTACATACAAAAACTCGAGCATCTGTAAAAAAAAATATATGGGGACATAAAATATAGATATGTACAGTTAATCAAGGTCAGGTATCGGCTCTGGAGTCCACGGGTCATTATAGGGTAAAATGCGACTCACATGCACCACCTCTTTCTTTGCATTCCCTGATGGGCCTTTCCGTATTT